GTCTCGAACTCCTGACCTTGAGCGATCCGCCCACCTCAGCCTCCCAGAGTGCTAAGATTACAGGCGTGAGCCACTGTGCCCGGCCTAAAAAGCTAATCTTAACAAAAATGTCAACATCGTGAAAGAAAAAAAAAAAAAAGACACTGTTCTAGACTAAAAGATACTAAAGAAACATGGCAACTAATTCAATAAATGATCCTTCATTGGACCCTGAATCAAAAAGAAAAAAAAATTACCAGGACAACTGAGGACTTTTGAATTTGGAATGTATGCTAGATAATAGCAGTATAATTATAGCATTGTATCAATATTAAATATCCTGAGTGTGATCACTGTATTGTGGTTATTAAGATAATGTCCTTGTTTTTAGAAGATATGTGATGAAGTGTCATTATGTTTGAAATTCTGACATGCCTCAAATAGCTCAGAATAAAGAACATGAAGAAAAAGAGATAAAAAAGGTGACAGGATGCTAATGATTGGTCAATATAGGTGAAGAGTACATGGTTATCCTTTGTATTACTCTTGCAACTTTTCTGTTGGTTTGAAAATTTTTTAAATAAAAAGTTGAGAAAACTATAGAGCACAAACATGGATATATGTAAATATGATCCTAATTTTATTTAAAAGTTACATATGTGTGTATTATGCAATGTTAAAAAGAATGGAAGGAAATTGATGTATCCCTGGGTGGTAGAATTAAAGCTGATTTTTACTTTCTTCTTCAAAATACTCCATTTTCCAAAGTGTCTGTAAATTCATTTTATAATAAAAAAGCTAAAACTATTTCCTTTTTAAGGAAATAAGATGAAGTAAAAGACGATTGATCCAAGTTTGCCACCTTGGTCAAGTTATAACACCTGAGCCTCTGTGAAATGAAAAGAGTGCTTATCTTTGAGGTTAGTGTAGTAATACACTAGCACATAATAGATGTTCAATAATTGCTTATGCATTCAAGAGTAGATACCTGAATGCATTTTTACTTCCTATAAAAAAATCTGACATACCCTACTGTTTACAAAATTCAACTCATTTTAGACAATTGCCAATAAAGGGTAGGAAACCACACATCCTAGAGTCAAAAACAATTAGTCTGTCCAGAAGACAAGTTGTCTTCCCACCTCGAAATAATGAACACCATTTCTAAGGCGCTCCTTTTTCATACCTGCAGGGTTACTTGCTGTCCATTTGGCTACTTTCATAATTTATTCAAAATTTACTGAACAATCTTTTTGTGACAGATCCTGGAAATACAAAGGTCCCTTCTTTTTTATCCATCCAAACCTGAGACAGCCTGCAGTTCCATGCAGTTGGGTAAAGTTTTTCCCAGCTCACCCAGCGCAGGAGCCTGCTTCTGTACCTCTAGATTTACTTCAACAAATGCTGGTCATCTACAAACCCCATCTATTGTCTGGTCCACAGAAGAGAACAACAAAATGTTTGAGAAGGAACGTGAATATCGGAGGTGGACAACGTCTCCAAGGTCACTCACTCCTCACACATAGGTGGGTTCCGGCTGTGCCATCCAGGTGGCCTTTCCATCCCTAACCTGTTCTCGGCATCTCGGCAGAAAAACAAGATCCAAAGCTGGAAGGTGGACAAACCTATTCCATACATCACTTACCCTGTGCTGGCATGGACCGGAAGAGTTATTAACGATCTGGACGCCTTCAGGGCGGCTGAGACTCTTCTACAAACAACAGCCAAACTGGCTATAGCCATTTTTTCACATAACTAAGCAAATCGCGTTTCCTCCAACAATGGCGTCACTTCCGGCGTCCCACGCAGACGCATAAGAGCACAGGACCAGGCCCTTGCCCTCACTTAATATGGCCACCTTCGCCTTCGCCCTTATTGGTAAATTGGCTCTCTCGGCTCCCGTTACATCCTCGCGTTTCTTCCTGTTGCCCGACGTAGCCATGGCGGCCATGAGTTTACTGCAGCGAGTTTCGGTCGCTTCGGTGGCAGCTCTGTCGGGCCGCCGCCTTGGCACTCGACTAGGATTCGGGGGCTTCCTCACCCGTGGCTTTCCGAAGGCTGTCGGTGGGTGCTGGCCTAGCGAGAAAGTGCGCGTGTCGGGGGAGTGCGGGATGAGACCTGAGAGGACTCTTCCAGGGTGACCTTGGTGGAATCCGCTGATGCTAAGTAATATGTGGACAGGTAGAGAAGCTCAGGGCCAATTTATTCATTAAGTACAGTAGGTACCGTGCATATGGAGCCCATGGTGGTTTTAGGGGTCCACGAAAATGTTTTAAGTTTATTTTTTAAAAAGACTACAGTGTTAATGATTATGTGATAATGCATACAATCTGGACCATATTCGTTTTGTACCACTGCAATAATAAAATATCATTTTAATAAAGTAGGAAGGGGCCATGAAGGCAAAAGTGCCTTGGCCCAGGAAAGTCATAATGCAGTCCTAGTCTTGGGGACTGAGTTGCATTGTAGGGGTACGAATAATCATAATAGCAAAGCATCAAGTGCTTGTTGTTGTCTGCTTTATTCTCTCAAAGATTCTGCAAAGTAAATACAATTGTTGTTATCCCCATTTTACAGATGAGAAAACAGACTCAATTATTACAAAAATAATGCACCACTGTATTAGATTAATAATAATGGTAGCCAAAAATTTATGGAATATGTGTTTTGTGTCGGGAACCATTCTAAGGCTTTAAAGTATTACTAAATTTAATTCTCTTGATCAAAGATACACTGTAAGCAATCCAAGTAGGGAAAGATGAAGTGAAACTTTTAAACCAAAAAGATTGTCTCCAGCCTCAAAACATCTTGTTTTATTTTGCCCCTCTTCTCTTTTCCCAATTTAATTTGAATTATGCCCCTTCACATGATGAGGTAATATACGCAGGGACTTGCTGGAAACATGATGGAAAGGATCAGTAGTAGTCAACAAATTTCGAGCAGGAACTTCAACTTGTTACAAAACAACATGTGCTAACATTACTTGTTAAAATACTTTGATAAGCCATTTCTGATCACAGATATCCTCAAATATTCAAATTCAAATATTTCCCCAGGTAATATTTAATCAAATCTAACTGGAGATAACTGAGGTACAATTTCACCTCCAGTTCCTCTTTCTACACTATTGCCCTTTCTTGGAGTTCTGGAAGAATCATTGCAGGGAGTCCACACTCTTTCTAGTGGGAGCAGGGAAGGATCTAATAGCTATCTATACTAAAGATTACTGTGTTTTCAGCTGTGTACCTGCTTTCAAAGATATTTGGCATCTGTCACTGTGATATGAAAGGTTTTTAATCTTTTGTATTATTGTTTATATCTGTCCCTACAAGAATGAAAGCTCCACTATCGTGGGAAACCTTGTCTTGTTCTATTTTCTGTGGAGCTAGACTGCCTAGGTTCAAATCCTAGCTCCAGAATTTAGAAGCTCTGTGACCCTGGGTCATCACATTTTAGAAGCTAAAGTGGAAGGCACTTAACTACTTGTAACCTGCATTTCCTCCTCTTTAAAATGAGAATTTTAACCTACCTAATAAGATAGTTGTGAAGAGTGAGTGGCAAAAATCTACAGCACCTGGCATTGACCTTTTAAAAAAAATTGTGGTAAAGTATACATAACATAAAATTTACCATCTTAACCATTTTTAAGTGCACAGTTCAATGTTGTTAAATACATTCATAATGTCGTACAGCCATCACCACCTTCTGCATCCATAACTCTTCTAAAACTGAAACTCTGCACTCATTAAATAATAACTCCCTGTTCCCTCTGCTCAGCCTGTGGCAACCACCATTCTACTGTCTGTCATTATGATTTTGATTACTCTAAATACATCATATAAGTGGAATCATACTGTGTCTTTTTATCACTTAGCATAATATTCTCAAGGTTCATTCATGTTGTAGCATATGTCAGAAATTCCTTCCTTTTTAAAGCTGAATTGTCCATTGTATGTATGTGCCACATTTTGCTTATCCATTCACCTGTCAGTGGTCACTTGGGTTGCTTCCTCTTTTTAGGTACAGTAAATCCTCACTCAACGTGGTTGGCTCTTGGAAATCTTTAAGTGAAAGGGAGTATAACAGAAGGAAACAGTGTTATTCCGGGACCTGCTGTAGGAAGTTTCACTAAAAGTTGTAGTTTCTAAGAACCTATCTACAGTGTTAAGTGAGGACTTACTGTATTGTGAATAATGCTGCTGTGAACATGGGTGTACAAATATCTCTTTTGAGACCCTCCTTTCATTTCTTTTGGGGATGTGCCCAGAAGTGGAGTTGATGGATCATATGGTAATTCTATTTTTAATTTTTTTTTTTTTTTTTTTGAGACAAAGTCTCACTCTGTTGCCTAGGCTAGAGTGCCGTGGCGTCAGCCTAGCTCACAGCAGCCTCCGACTCCTGGGCTCAAGCGATCCTCCTGCCTCAGCCTCCCGAGTAGCTGGGACTACAGGCATGCGCCACCATGCCCAGCTAATTTTTCTATTTTTAGTAGAGATGAGGTCTTGCTCAGGCTGGTCTCGAACTCCTGAGTTCAAACAATCCGCCCGCCTCGGCCTCCCAGAGTGCTAGGATTACAGGCGTGAGCCACTGTGCCCAGCCTCTATTTTTAATTTTTTAAGGAACTGCCATGTTATTAGTATTTTCCACAGCTGTACCATTTTACATCCCCACCAACTGTGCATAAAGGCTCCAATTCCTCCACATTCTTCCCAACACTTGTTATTTTCTCATTTTTGTTAGGTGTGTTTTTTGTTTTGCTTTTTTGTTTGTTTTTTAGGAAGATAAGGCAAGGAAATTTTCTGGTTTTTTTAGTAGTAGCCATCCTAATGGATGTGTGGTAGTATCTCATTGTAGCTTTGATTTGCATTTCCCTTATGATTAGATTAGAGAAAGATTAGAACATCTTTTCATGTGCCTCTTGACCATTTGTATATCTTTGGAAAAATGTCTATTCATTTTTTTTTTGCCTATTTTTAAATTTTTTGTTGTTATTGGGTTTTAGAAGTTCTCTGTGTATTCTGGATATCAATCCCGTATCAGGTAGATGATTTGCAAAATTTTCTCCCACTCTGTGGTTGCCTTTTTACTCTATTGATAGTGTCCTTTGATGCACAAAATTTTTAAAATTTTGCAAAGTTCAGTTTGTCTGTTTTTTCTTTTGTTGCCTATGCCTTGGAGTCCTAGCATTAGCCTTCTACAGGGCTCTGTGGCCACATCATTCTTAAAGCATCTAGTGCTGTCATGCTATCTTCACCTTCTGTGAAAACCTTTCTCAGAACATAAGCAAATAAAGCTAGCCTATTATTTTAAACATCAAATATCAAGGAATTCTAGAGATGAGCTTAAGTTCTTACTTAGCTGCAAGTAGCTTTAATTTACAGTTGGAAACTGATATACACAAATTATGGTTTAAACAAAGAAGAGTATTAAAATGGGTATATAAACAAAGTACTGTGGAATTTATTCAGATATGGAATATATGGCATTTTAACTGAATTGTGGGGATAGTTTTAACAGGTCATACTGGCAGAAAAGTAAAGGATGAATATTCTGATTAGATATGTGGCTCTTGTTATAGGTAGATGTTGGGAGAGAAGGCAAAAAAAAAAAAAAGATTGGGACCAAATTGGGGGAGCAGCGGGACTGAATGCAAAGCCAAAGTAGCTTCACTTTATTTTATAGGCAACATAGAGTATTTTAGCAGAAGAGCAATATCAGTAGTGTGTTTTAGGAAGATGCTTCTGAGTATTGGATGGCTTATAGGGGATGTTGATTGCTTAGGCCAATAAGGTAGAGAAGGCATGGAAAGAAATGGAGAGTTTGAAACTTAGAATCAAGAGGCCTTGACAAATGATGAATGATGGGTGGGTGCAAGGAAGATGACAGATTTTTATCCAGGGTAATCGAGATGGTGGTGCCCTTAACTGGGAATGAGGGAAAGAAAATGGCCAATTTTTAGTTGTCTGTGATACACAAAAAGTGCCTCCAGTATTTTATGCAATCCTCACAAAAATCATAATTGTCAAAGATGTAATGACTTTCCCAATGCTATTTGCATTTTTAAAAATTGATTCTTGAAGCCTTAGGCCTATGTAATTAGTGAATACCTAACTGAGAAATTCCAGGCTTTAGAGAGTAGTGGAAAGATGCCTATTTTGGGAGGCAGGAGGAGCTAAGTTCCAGAAATCCTGGCAGTCACTTGGTTGTAAGTAGTGTTCACCCTAATATTTTTAGATTGTAAACGGAAGATCCTACTATGTCAACAACAAATCTTGAAGGCTCAGAACATTTGAAAAGAGTTAAGTCTATGAAATATACTTTAGAACAGTTAACAGTAGTAATGGTTATCTTGCACATTTAATGACATGAATAATTGTTTAACAATTGGGTTATTATGTATAAAGAAAGAGCAAGCAGTTCACATTACTAACTGCATTAGTGTTGCTAGAATGCAGCTAGACCAGGCTTTCTTCCATAATTATTTTTGTTTATTACATTTTTCATATCTATTAATAGTGTTTTTTGTTTTTGAGACAGAGTCTCACTTTCTTGTGCAGGCAACAGTGGCATCATCATAGCTCACTGTAACCTCAAACTCCTAGGCTCAAGCAATCCTCCTGCCTCAGCCTCCCTATTAGCTGGGATTACAGGCATGCGTACCACACCTGGCTAATTTTTTCTACTTTTAATAGAGATGGGGCCTTACTGTTGCTCAGGCTGGTCTCAAACTCCTGACCTTAAGCTGTTCTCCTGCCTTGGCTTCCCAGAGTGCTAGGATTACAAGCGTGAGCCACTGCACCCAACCAATAGTGTCATTTGTAATCAGTGTTCCCTAAAATTGTACATAGTTTAACCAGCCCCTCCCCACCCCGTGTCTGATTGAAAGGGAAAGTTAGCAAGTATACTATCTCTTCTGAGTAAATGTAGTATGCTTCCAGGGATTAAGAAAAGATCCTCGACCAACATTTAATTTATTTAAGAAATGTAGCTTCAACAGTATTTACAGTGTCTGCACCTACCATGTGGCAGACAGTAAAGGGTGCTGGGGTTACAATGCTGAATAAGACGGTCCCTGACCTGATGGCAT